AAGCCTCTCTCAACTGTGGGGAGTTAGTGGTAGTGGTAAGCGAAGTGTGGTTGCTTGGTGTGAGTGGTGGAAATGGCTCAAATGTCAGGTGGTGTGGCGTTAATGGACCACGCCAGTCCTTTGACGATGGCGTTGTTGGGGTGGATCACCCAGCAACGTGCCTTCGCGACTGCGCCATGCTGTTGCTGTAACAAACGCATAGCCTGTTCTTCACGACCACTGGTGAATTTTGTACCCCGGCCCCATGCCAGGAGGTGGAGCATAAGGGAATGGGTGTTCTTGGAGAGTTTCCATGTGTTGTGTAGTATACGGGCTTGTTCGTAGTTGTCGTGGAGTGGTTGGTGAGAAATGCGTGTGGCCTGGGCAAAGAACCCAGGGTTGTCTGCAAAGTGGAGTGTGCTGGGCAGGAGGCGACCCTGCTGTAGGATGGTGGTGATGTTGCCGTGAGGGCCGGTGTGGCAAGCGTTAATGTGGACGGTTTCCGGGGTAGTGGAGGTGGCACGAGTGGCGGGCGGTGGAATCGGGCGGGTGGCCTTGTCGACCAGACTGGGAACGTTGATGCAGTGGTACGGAAAGGTGTCGTAGGTATTGGTAGTGTCATTCCACTTGACATGTGTGAGTTGGCGGAAATCTGACAAATCATCGTGGGTAAAGCCGCTGTCAGCGAGAAGTTTAGCAATGTATGCGTGTTGTGGTTTGTTTTCTGCTGCCAGCTGTGTAGCATGAAAATCGAGCCACCATTGGATCTGCTGCTGTTGAGAAAGTTGATGGAAGTGTGGTGGAGGTGGTGCCCAGGGTGGATTTGGGCGCCGCAGTGCTGGAATGTTGGGAAATTCTGCCTGGGACATGTTGGCAATTTGACTGTGGGGTGCTGATTGTTGATTGGGTCGCAGGGTGATGGCATGGGAGCGGCTTCGAGAGCGGCTGTGGGAGGCTGTGGAGTATGTGGATGAGGGAGAACGTCGACGCCGGTGGCGCGCCGATGAAGCCTGATTGGTCGAAGCTGGAGTTGTGTGGCGGTGTCCAGTGCGTCGGTCTCGTGTGCGGCGACTGTGGTGGCGATGGCGATGTCGGCTGCGGCGTCTGCTGTGGTGGGTACGACGGGTGGTTGCAGTAGAAGCAGGTGGTGATGGGGCAGTGGCAGGATGTGCAGATGTAGCTTGTTGAAGTGTCGCATGTGATCGTTTGCGAGACCTCGGGGTTGGTGCTGGAGGTGCTTCTGGTGGAGGAGGTGGTGGAGGTAGCGGTTGAGCTGGTTGTGCTGGTGCCGCAGGGGCCGTAGAGGCTGATGTGTGGGGCGTTGAAGTGACTGTAGCTGTGGTTGCTGGTTGAGAAGCACTCGGGTGAGAACCCGTTGATTGTGGAACGCTCGGATCAACAGGAGCTGGTGGCGGAGCGACCACGGTCCACGGTAGGAGGTGTTGGATCAGGGGGAACGGAAATGGCCGAGTTTGATGCCGGGTGAGAATGCGGTGAAGGGTGGACGACTGGTGGAAAGAGGGAGTAAGGCTGCCAAATGCCCTGGGAGTGGTCCCAGTGAATGGAAGTTGGTTGTGCTGTCGGTTGTGGTGCTTGCGGAGCGTGCGGAAGCGGTGGCACCGGAGATGAAAGTGGTGGAGGTTGCAAAGAGGGTGGAGGAGAGGAATGGTGCGGAGGTTGTAATGGTTTTGGTTCAATTGTTGGCATCGGAGGTGAGACGGGGTAGGCGTGTGTGGGGGCCACGACTGCTGGTGTAGGTAGAAGGTGTGGCGGCTGATGATGCGGCCACGTAGGAGCTGCCAGGTGTGGCGAAGTGGCCTGAAAATGGGGTAGGATAGTCGGTGGTTGCTGGTGTGGTGGGGCTGTATGCAAAGGTGTGGTTGGTGGATGATGGTGCCATGGTGATGGCTGAGCGCCGATGGTAGGCACTGTGGGCGCGGAACAGTGCGATGGCCACTGTGGATATGGCCAAGGATACTGCATGTGGATGGCAGTTGAGAGGTCAATCCAACAGGTTGAAGGCTGCAGGAAATAGCGCCGGCGCGGCCCAGCAGCTGAGGGAGATAGGTGAAAAGTTGGAAATACTGAAAGATTCCTGAGCTCTGGTGGATCTGCAGTGAGGAAAAGTAAGGTGAACTTATGGCTTGAAATGCAATGCGGAGTGGCGTAAAACATGTGGAAGCTGATCAAATGGCTGCGGGTTAAAAAGTTGGGAAATGCAGTAAACAACGTCGTGACAATGCAAGACCGAATGAATCAGGTAACCATAGGGGAATCCATCGTTTATAGCCCGGCGGCTCGAAATTCCGTTAATTCAGTGATAGAAATGAACAGACAGGGAGACAGTTAAAAAAATGATGGGCCAGTGAAATCCGGAATGGTTTCGGCGCCTCCTTTCGGAGGATCACACCCAGCACCCAAGTGGGAAGACTGAGCGGCTCACACTCTGACAGTGGTTTTCAGTTAACTCAATTGCCACGATGGGAAGGAAGGTGAGGGAACGGAAAGGTGCATGAGTCCGCAGAACAGTATTGTTTAACAAAGTTTCAGAACGAGCGCAAGTGGAAGCGGCTGCAAAGCTGAGGGAAACTTGTTTTGGGGGTGGAAGCATGAAGGACCATGAAAGCAAACCGATCAAATTGGACAGCTTGAAAAACAGTTCTTCCTGCAGGTACAGGAATGTGCGTCCACATTCCCTTCCGGCTGAATCCCGTAGCTTCGTTGGCATGGCTAGGGAAACAGCTGCCATGCCCCCTGCTTTCGTGAAAAGTGGGAGTGATTGGAAACCCTTGGAAACAGGGTGTGACACACATACACAGACAGCTTGTACATTCAAACAAGGCAGGTCTTCCTAGGTCGTTGTAATGAGGTTTGGTTTCATTGGTCATTGGTTCCCGTCCCCTTTCATTTGGTTCCCCTTTTCATTCTTTTCTCCTTCACACACACCTTTCTCCTCTTTTCTTTCATGTCTTTCCTGGCTTCATGTCCTGTCACCTCACTCCTTTCTTTCTCTTGCGCGCACATCGGTCCGGGCCTTAGTCTGTACGCGCACATCTATTTTAGATTTAGATTTCAGGTCGCCCAGGTTCTGGTAATGAGGTTTGGCTCACCTTTTGTCCCTGTGCATTTGGTTCCCTGTTCATCGCCACCACGTGCACCTTTGTCCTGAGTCTTGTCCTCTTGTCATGTCTTCGTGTTTTTGTCCTTGGTTGCGTGCACCCGTGCACATTCGCCTCAACCTTAGTTTTTTTTTTTGGGCCCCCCCTCGGGGAGGCATGTGTGTGTACATTGCAGCTGATTGCCCGACGAAGAGGGCTGCAAGTGTGGCTGGTATCCGGAAGGGGCGCCTTCTGGATATACCTGCTTGGGTGTGGTGTTTACAAGCTGTTACTCTCAGGGCAGACGTCGTCATCCCGATCGATACGTGATCGTCGGTTTTGAGTTTTCGGCCTCATTTTCGGTTAAGGACCTCCAGGATCCACAGGTTTTCGGCGTTCCTCTCAGGAATCTGGTTCCTTAGGTTGCCGTGTGGCGAGCGGCATTCGAGTCAGTGCGCATGTCAATACGTGTGTGCGCGTCCACCTTGGACTCCTTGGTGGTCTTCGGGTTTTAGTAGGGGGTTGGACTCCTGAATTTCCAGCAGGCGAGCGCCACGGAAGATGCTCCTGCAGCACTTGTCAAAAGGTACCTGCTATTGACCCCGCCTCGGCATCTAAGTGCAGCTGGTGGGTCCTACGTTGCTGGCCCCGGCGTGCAATTAGACTAGGCCTTTTCATCGGCTCTTCACTTTGACAAACGTGAATTAGCTGGTCGGCTTTCGAGACTGCCGTCGTCCGAACTCTGAGCTTCTGGATGCTCGTGGAAGTTGGAGCGCATTGGAGTGTGATCAAGCTTTGAACCCCTTTTGCGCTTTGGACGGCTACACGCCGGCGCTGCAGCTTTTGGCTCATCTGGCTTATGCAAGCAATTTTTCACTTAGGCATCTTCAGGGCTTGACAAGTCAGATCGTATGTGCTTTATGCCCCGGCATCGTGGCCAGACCTCCTTGTGACGAAACCTGGGGCGCCTCCCAACCTAGTTTCATTGTAAGTGTGCACGCGCACGCTAAGGCTAAGCAAGCGTACGCGCAGGGGCCCCAAACCGGAGAGACAGGACAAGACCTCAAGGTGGAAACGCGCCCGACCGACTTGGTTCGCCGGGATGCAGGCCTGGAAAGGCACACCTGCGGCGACGGAGTCCCGACAAAGAGGAGGTCCTGCAACAAGGCCATGAAGACAAGGACAAAGAAGAGGAAAAGAGAGGTGGGAGATGAGGGAAATGAGGAATGGAGGAGAAAACACGAGAAACTTGCGAACGCAAGCTGCAAGCTACAACACAAATTCTAACGAAAGAGCCGAAGACAAAAACCTGCCTCCTTCTGGCGGGGCCCCGGATCCAAGTGACATATTTAATGCTCGTCATTTCTTGCGCGCACGCGGGTGTGTGTTGTGTGTGTGCCCCTTGTAGTCACAGGGATTCCTTTGAATTGTTTTCTTTTACCATGAGCAGGGGGGCGCAGGAGGCCCATAGAGCTGTGCCCAACGAAGCTCTCTATGGTGACCTCAGGATATGCAGCCTGACCAGCTGCGCGTACCTGCTGTTTGAACTTTTGAACAAGCTTTGACTCCAATTTCCAGTAAAGTGCTAATGAGCTTGGCAGACATGAGCGTACGACGTCATCTTGACCTGCTCGTCGCCTTCGGTCTTGAGCTTTTGGCCCTTTCTCCTTTTGAAGACCTCCAGGCTCCATAGGGTTCTCCTGGACTTTTCAGGATTTGGTTTCTTAGGCTGGCGTGTGGCATATGGCATTCAGTTCCGTACGCCCAATCATAAGTGTGTGTTTGTGTGCGTGGGGGTGTCTATGCAGGACAGCTCCCCGAAAACAAGAAGTGACAGGATGGTCCGGATGGGCAAAACGTCACGGAGTCAAGTCAGTGGCCTTCTTGTGGTGTGCTTGTCTCATGCGTGTGACCCTAACCAAGGTTGTTCAGTCGAGTGTGCCAGTGGCTGTCGTCAAGGTTGCCTTCAGCTTGGAGAAGGGTGAGTTGAGTGACGTAGTGACTTGGGAGCACCGGATTGATTGGTGGAAGATTTCCGAGCAACAGAGCCAAGGTTGTCTCCGAAATTGGCGTGCACTTGGTCCAGCGAACCGGCTGAGCAGATCACCTATGGGAGGCAATTCAACTTGATCCCTCGCGGCCAAAGTGGCAAAGGTGGAGCTGCCGGAAAGAAAGGGAACGTTCAGCGTGGAGGTGAGTGAAACACACAGCTCGGAGGTCCAGGTGTTGGAGTTGCTGAAGCTGAGCCATGAGTTGAAGGGTGGCCCACGGTGGGCTCATTTGAACTGCAAAAAGGAGCGGCGGCAGTTTTTGGCCGATTGAGTGACACATTTTTCTTGTGCAATGCAATCTGATTCAGTTGGTCACGTGCTGCACCATGAGCCAGCACCACGGTGCCATAGTTTGCCTGTTATATGCATATAACATTGTTAGGTTGGAGGCCATTGAAAGTAGGTTGGAGGCAATTGCTTCTAGGTTCCTTTTGCTATTACGCGAATCTTCCTCAGCCAACCTCATATAACTTGGTATGCCCTTATAATGCTAAACATATCAAAATGAAAACTGGTGCTTACAGGCTGTAAAATTGGTGCATTTCCTGGTGTGTGGTCTGGTGTGTGGCAATGTTTGTCAATTGTGTATGGTTTTATATTTATCAAGGTCGACATAAAAAGTTGTGCAAACCTGGGTGTTGAGACGAATGTGGCTTCATTGAATGGTGAAAGGGTGGTGCTAAACCTGGTGTTGAAAAGGATGTTGATGAATTGAATGGTCAAAAGATTGCGCAAAAACTGGTGTTGAAACAGAAGGGGCTTCATTGCATGGTCCAAGGAGGTGTAAAACTTAGTGTCGATAGTGTCGAAACAACCGTGGAGTCCCAAATCAAAGCACCAGAGATGAAATACAAGATAAATACTAGATCAGCGCTTTGAGATGCGCTGTGCTTTTTCCAGATTTGCAGTGAATGCTTGGACCGCTGCCCGGCAGGCTTGTCTTCATACACGCGCAGAAGAATTAAAGTCAAAGTCAAATGATGTGTTCCCACATGCATGTGCCGGACAAATGTTCCGGTTTTAGTGATATGATATGATATGTATGATAAGATACGTTGTACTGTGTACGGTACCAGAAAAATCTTGCCCGAACTTGCTTCCGCTTGACGCATTAGCAAAGCCTGCCATGTTGGCAAATTTATATCGGCGGCAGAGTCATGACCGATCCAGAAGCCCCAGCAGCTCTCGAAGAGGTCGGGAAGAGGTCGGGAAGAGGTCGGGAATAGGTCGGGAAGAGGTCGGGAAGAGGTTGGGAAGAGGTCGGGAAGAGGTCGGGAAGAGGTCGGGAAGAGGTCGGGAAGAGGGCGGGAAGAGGTCGGGAAGAGGTCGGGAAGAGGTCGGGAAGAGGTCGGTAAGAGGTCGGGAAGAGGTCGGGAAGAGGTCGGGAAGAGGTCGGGAATAGGTCGGCAAGAGGTCGGGAAGAGGTCAGGGACAAATATTGAGCGCAATAATTAGATCAATTTATTGAAATTTGTATTTTTTAATTCGTTTTAATTACTTTTCCACGTGTCTTAGCATTATGGAGAGGGACTTCTTGCAAAATGTGTCCCCGACCTCTTCCCGACCTCTTCCCTTTTTGAAAGCTGACAGGGTTGATTTGGCGATAATTGGCGATCGGTGATGGTGGCATGGTGCCTCTTCTGTCTATTCACGCGTGAGTGGCAATTTCCCTCTTGAGTTGGCCAGGGGCGGGGCCATGAAGCGAGAAATGCGGGTATAGCATTAGCATCGAAACATAGGTCCATAGGCCATGGCCTTAGCTGGCGCTAGATTCAATGTCAATAATTCAATTAATACTTAAGCTCTGCTGTGCAGGGAGAGGAGGGCAGGAGGGGAGAGGAGGAGGGGGTGAGAGGGGGGGATATAATTCATGAACAACAACAATCATGACTTGGTACGGGCGTAGCAGCGTTAACACTAGAAAATCAGAAACCTATGAATTCTATGTCGCGGGGTGTGGCCCGCGTGGGTGGCACCAACCGCTCACAGTCGACCACCATGGCTTGGCAATACAAGAAGTATTTTTTTCAAAAACGACGTTTTTGTAAATAACAGTTTTTGTCAATAACCGTGTGGATGGCTGTGATGGCTGTGGATGCCTTTGATGGCTCCCGCCCCACTCCCGCCCCACTCCCCCACTCCCGCCCCAGTCCCGCCCCACTCCCGCCCCAGTCCCGCCCCACTCCAAGGGCTGGAAAACCCAAAGTAATATGTGAACATGTGTTCCTGGATTTCTAAAACATAAATCGAAGTCAAGGGTCTGAAGATTTCTGGGACTGTTTTTTGATTGCATGGATCGCCATTGAATAGTTGAACACAAGTTGTTCAGCGATCTGAGCTCTGCTTACGCATGAGTTTCTTGCACCAACATAGTCAAGATTTGAACCCAGTCGTGCACCACCCCCGACACCTCGTCGTGCACTGGAAAACCTCCACGTGATTAGCATAACAAGGGCTTACCAACATATAACTAGTCCGTCCACCGCCCAGTTGCTGCCCAGTTGGCAGGTCAATGATCGTGGTGCTGCTGGGACATTGGGCGGCTGGTTTGAATCATCGCGTGATGTGACCGGGAAGTGGGTGTGGGGCTCAGCTGGGCTCAGCAGTTCAACCCTCCCTAAATTTCCTGCCGGCTCAGCCGGGTTCAGATGGATGCTCAGGTCTTTCTGAAGGAGGTCAGCGTGACCCAAACCATCCCCAAGATGGACTGGTGCTCAGTAGAGCACGATGCAGTGAAAAATCTTGCACCACTTTGTTCAAGTGTTTGAATGTTTAACATTCAGCTATGAGAACCCATGCCCGACATTGAACATAGAGCATGTAGGGGCTGAGTAAACCATTACTTAGAGCAATGCATCCAAGTGGCACGTTCGACTAGGCACACGGACAATGCACAGTCAGTATGTCAGTATGTGCATCGGGCTTGGCTTTGGTTTGTGCGTGCGGATGTTTTAGTGACACTATTTGCAGGCACCCCTGCTTGAGGACCACCTCGCTTGTTTCCTGCCTGGGACATTGGCGCTGGACGTTTTCCACTATGCCACGGAGCACTTTGGGCCACGGGCAGTGCAGCCTCATTTGTTGGAAAAGGGCCGGGCTTCCGAACTCACTTTGGCGCACAAGCTTCTTGGTTCACTGTAGATCGCTTTTTCTGCTCATGTCTTCGGGGTTCTTGCTGAGAAAACGCACGCATTCTCACCGCTTGCTGTGACCCAGGCTCATGCAATCCTGCCTCTCAGCTCAAATTGGTATGGCCTGAGAGCCAGCAAGGCATGGTTTGATCAACGGTGCTCCGCGCTTGCAATTGCAAGAATACTTCGCTTTTGACTGCGTTGAAGCACATCGAGTGAACATTGAGGCGTGCACATGTACTTCCGGACCTCTTCAGACCTTGCGCCAGAGATCGTCCGCTTCAATGCGCGTGGTTTGCTGGATGACCAGGGCTCCACGCACAACATTTTGCGACCCGAAACTGCTCCTTGGCTAAGGCCCTTACTTATATATACTGTAATTTAGTATGGTATATACATAGGTAGCCGCATCGACATTCAACTGGATTCAATATTTCTTTCATGTCAGGGCCTCATCCCTAGTCTCGCTCTCTCGCTGTGAGAGGTGGAAAGCCTTTATATGATGTGGCGGACGACCAAGCTGCAGATCTACAGGAATTGGGGCCAAAGACTGCTGTCTGCATTCTACCGCTTGAAGACCCCGTACGGCTTTGGTGGCCTTCACAATGTGAACCGGCCTAGCTCCAAGCGCGATGACATGCCATCCTTCTTTATGGCTGAAACTCTCAAGTGTCTTTGGCAGCCTTTACTGTAGCTCCAAGTTGCTGGATGCCATCATTCTGACATTTTTAGTAGTTAGCAATGTTCCATCTATTCTGCGTCTCTCGCCAAGCACGACTCGGTGACACATGTCAATCCCCGTTTTAAAAGTCTTTTTCCCCCTCTGCGCAGCATCTTAATCACACAGTAGTACTCAGTAGGTTTAGGGCCAACGGCCACCAAAGGCACCGCCAGAAGTAGCACAGGCCGTGAAAGGAAAAGGACTGCCTATTGACAGGCTCCAGGTAAACTTGCCGCAAAGCATTTTTACAATCTCATGTCGAAAGTGGTCTGAGGTATTTGTTCTTGTTGTTCTCCTCAGATTCTGCACTTCCTTTGGATCACTTTGTGCTCAATACAGAGGCGCCAGATGATATGTGTTATGTACTTGGCAGTGGCTTCCCTTTAGCCAGCGGTATTGGTCGCGGCTCCAACTACTCTAGCTGGCCAGAGTCCAGTCATCCCAGTTGATACATGCGCATTGTGGGCAACCCTAAGGAGAGATCCATTTCGTAGAAGCTCATTTGTACCAGTGCATGGGTTTGTAGCACTAACACTCCCGGCATGCCCTACGTTTACAGGCGAACCCGATTCCGGAAGGTTCTCCGACTCATCTGGTGCGACTCAGACCCTGTGCGAGGCCCATCCGGTGCCGGTGCTGCACACTTTGCTGGCCTTGGGAGTCAAGTGGCCCTGCCCTCGCGGCACCCCGAATCTTGTCAAGAAGTCACTCTGCTGCTGCTGCTGCTGCTGTCCCTATAGCCTATAGCTGATCCACACACAAGGTTGAGACGTACTGGAACTTCCCCTTTCTTTAGCAAGTAGTTGGTCAGTCAGACTCAACAATGCATAGATCTTAGTACCGGAGGACTTTTAGCCTCCTTGGATCTCCCTTATGGCTCACGGCTCACCTCCTTGCTTCACATGAGCTTGATGTCCTTGTTTCCGATAGAAGGCATTTCGGTATGCAAATTCTTATGCAAACTTAGTGCGCGCGCGCACACACATATGTATATAATATATATATATATGTGTGTGTGTGTGTGTGTGCGTGTGCATTTCCACAGCCAATCACGTGAGTGTCATGACATCACTTGCATCACCGACCGCAGCCGCGGCGGGCATCTCGAGAGAAAAGCTTGGGCCCATCTAGCTGCGCCATCCTACCCCCCTTTTCAGGGATCTCTAGCGTTTGGAGCCATAGAGGAGGATCGAACTTCGTTTGTCGACCTCGAGATCTTGTTGTTGGTAGCGGAGCAGGCCACAGCGATTCGGGATAATATCATCGCGGCCTGTTCGAGCGCATTTGCATCTTCCCGTACTTCCTGAAGTATGGCAACAGCATCCACATCTGGCGGAGCCACCGCCAATGGACTTGGAGGATCATCCTCCTACACGGGCAAGGCCCATGAGCTGATCCCAGAGTTTTCTGGAAAGGCTGCTGACTACAAGGAGTTCGTCTGATGCTCTATGAAAAGAAGAGGGCGCAAGACCGAGACAGCCTTCAACATCCTCAGCTCCCTCAAGTACAGAGCATGGGACGCTTGCGAAGACGTGGCGATGGACGTGCTCGAGAGTGATCGCGGAATGCGAGAGATCTTGACTCGCTGCCTCGCTTGGACTCCGTCTTCAAGTTTGACGCGGTCACTGAGCTCCCCCTGAACTCCTGAACTTCTTCATTTCCATGCAGCGCAAGTGGTCCGAGGCCATGCAGGAGTACACGGCCAACTTTGAGCGCCAGTTGAGGCGCCTCGCCGCACATGATGTGGCCCTCCCAGTCAGAGACAACTGATCATGAGCACCATCAAGACAACCACACTGTCTCTAGGAAGGCCGTCAACTTTGTAATCGGCCAGGACCAAACGGAGGACATGGACGTGATCCCCGCTTCAAGCACAAGGACAACTCCATATACACCCTGGCGGAGGACTTGGCCTATGATCAGGAGCCAGATGAAGTGCACTATGAAGATGAAGACTTGTGGGAGATCGGCCCCGATGACTCAATGAGCCAAGCCCCATGGGCAGATGACGATCCTGCCTATTGCGGAGGTGGATGATGATCCCGTCCTCGCCTGCGATGCTGCCTCCGAGTACGATGACATCATGGCGAGCTATGTCGGGGCAAGGTGCAAGATGAACCAGATGAGAGTGAGCAGGGGCTACTACCCTGTGGTCGCCATGGTGCAACCGGAGCAGCGATCCTATGGCGGCACTGGATCTGCGCCCTCTGCAAAGGCTCGTGGACGAGCTGCCTTAGGCGCAATCAAATGCCTTCGATGCGGACAAGCTGGACACATGGCTGCGCGCTGCCCAGCACAATCCCAGAAGAAGCGGAAGGCCGACGCTGACTCGGACCAGGAGATCAACATGGTGGTCGACCTATTCGATGAGGAGGTGAACCTGTTTGACGACGCTGATGAGTCTGAGCCGAATGACTTGGCCATGTTCGACAGCGGAACTGCCCCAGTGGTCATTGGCACGCCGCAGTTGAAGAAGCTCTTGAAGGCATTGAGCCTGAAAGGCTGTGACTTGTCCACCATCCCAGCATGGAGATGTGAGAAGGGTATGCGCTTCCGCAATGGAGGACGTGATGTGACCTCTCTCTGTGTTCTTGTCCCCACCTACTTCAAGGGCAAGCGTCGCGACGTCTTGATGTATGTCTTGGATTGCTACTCCTTGTCTACACGGCCCGCTTTGGAGGTCTTTGGCATCTCCACCAACTACAAGGCAAAGCAGATTGCCTGGGGCGAAGGACAGAAGTTGGAGCCGGCGACGCTGTGACCAAAGGGAGAGTATGTTGTCCATTTGGCAGAAGACCCCTCACCTTGTCATGGAGAAGAAGGACCCCGACCAGGTCTTCATACCGGACGACTTTGACAAGCGCGTCTTTGAGGAGGTATCGCTGATGGACTTCCTCAACATCGCGAAGGACAATGTTTGTGCGATGACGGAATTCGAGAAGACAGTTCACTCAAGTGTGCAAGAGGGAAACCATGAAGGTGATCTACAGCCTGCTGCCTCCGTGATGGAGAATGACCACGCGCAGAAGCAGCAGGTCATTAAGCGTGAGCGCTGTGAGAAAAATGAGGACAGTTTGGACAAACTGTCACCAGGCCAGTTCAACAAGCTTCACTACGAGACCATCGCTGCTGTGAAGGAGCTGGACCGTGATCTGTTGAAGGCAAAGGCCGTCAATGCCTCCAGCTCAAAAGATCCCTACGTCATCTGGGAGGTCTATGCTGGAGAAGGTAAGATCACCAAGACTGCAAACTGCAGGGACAACTGCGTGCCTGTCAGGTTCTCTAAAGAGGATGGCTGGGACTTCTCCATTCCAGCACACCGACGAGCTTTCTTCCGAAAACAAGACTTGGAGAAGCCAGACGCCGTAATCTACAGCCCGGTTTGCAAGCTCTGGTCACCTATGCAAGAGCTGAATCGATCCAAGAGTGTCGTCTATGCCGCCAACTTGGAGCTCAAGAGAAAGGAGGACCACGAGAACCACTTGACCTTCGTCGCCGTCAGCCTTGAGAAGCAAAGAAAAGAAGGTCGCGTTGCACTGGCTGAGCATCCCTGGTCGGCTCGGTCATGGTGCGCCGAGGCATTCAGTTGCATGAAGGGCTATGACACACGAGTTGACATGTGTGAATATGGTCTGCAGTTGCCTGACGATGATGGCAACATCAACCCGGTGCAGAAAGCCACGTGTGTCAAGACAACCAGCGCGATCATCTACAACCAGTTGTGGCGAGAATGCAGTGGAGACCATTGGCGCATCCACTTGGAGGGCTATGCGCAAGGCATGGGCCTGCGCACGGCCCTGGCCGAAAACTACACCCAGCAGTTCGCCACCAAGGTTGTAAATGCAATCGTCATGCACCTCGAGCTGCAGGATGACATCCAGGCTGTGGACGACATTGTGGAGGAGGCCAACATGGACCAGCCTGAAGAGAAGCGGATTGTTGAATCTGATCCCGTTCGGCTTCGATCAAAAGTTGGTGGACGCGCAGTTGAATGTGTCCAGGGGCTGCACAAGAACCTGGTCATTGTGGAGCCAACGTCTTGACTCGCATGCTGCGAGAAGTGCAGGCCACCGATGACGTCCTTGAGGCTGCCCAGAACTACTTGTGCCCTCTATGCTATGCCCGGAAAGGTCCGAAGCAAGCGCCGCCAGCATCTGGACTCAAGCGCGCAGAGTTTAACGAGTGATTGCAAGTTGACTCACATTGGATCCTGAACGAGGACTCCACACTCAAGGTCCATCAACCTGAAAATAGGTACATCTGCGGCCAACCGCAAGGAGAAGGAGAAAGCCGAGAAGATCCCGCAGGGCAGGCGCTGTGTTCTGACAGTGGTTGATCATGCAACTCGCTACTGTGCCATCAGAGTCCTGCACAGTGAGACAGCTGCCGACTTCACCAAAGGGCTTGAACGATGCTGGCTGAAGCATTTTAGCGTCCCGAAGATCCTCAGGATTGATGAAGCAAAGGGCTGGGCATCGAATGGGCAAGCTCTCGCGGCATCACGCTTGAAGTCCAACCCGCAGAGCAGCATTCATGGTTGGGCGTCGTGGAGCGCAAGCGCCAGGTGATTCGCCGATGCCTCGAGCTCTACCAGGACGAGGATGGAAGACATGATGCAGCCGCTCTCAATAGAGGCTGCTACCTATGTGCCCCATGCCGTCAACCAGCTGAGCTTTCACAAAGGCGTCAGTCCTCAGCAAGGGGTCCTGGGAAAGGCCATGAACCACGTGCGTGGCTTGTCAGGTGAGACCTTCAACCCAGGCCAGGAGGCCCTCGATGAGCAGAGCGTGTTCGCAGAGATTCAATCCAAGCGGACAGCTGCAGCCAAGGCCTTCATTTCGGCCGACTCGGACACCAAGCTGCGAAGAGACTTCAACCAGAAGTTTCAGGAACAGAAGGAAGATCTTGTTGTTGGACAACAATGCTGGTATTGGAGGAACGCTAGCCGGCATACTTCGCAAAGCTCGATGGCGTGGACCGGCGAGGGTCGTGGCGGTCGAGGACAATGGTGAGGCGAAGGTTCTCTGGCTATGTCATGGAACATCGTAGATCCGCTGTGCGCCTCAAAATGTCAGGCCATTGGTGGAGGAAAGTGGCGCCTTCGTTGCTGGAATTGCGCAGGCAATACTGCCAGGAGCACCTCATGAAGACCGAGAACGATCTCCAAGACGTCAATGTCAGCAAGCCCGAGGACCACCTTCTGGTGCACCAACAGCCATCCCAACAGAAGCTGAACCTGAAGGAGCTCGACGACGAGCAGCTGAAGGCTCACCAAAGAGAAAACACGCCGAAGAGAAACCAGAAGCGCCACCGCTCAAGAGCACACGTGCTGCGCCCCCAATTCCTTGGGCACCAGCACCTTCCTTGCCAGAAGAAGTTACCGTGCCAACGGACGATGAACTGGTCATTGACGATGTCTTTGTGGTCACAAATGGTGGTGAGGCATTGCCGGAAGGCTGGCGTGTGGTCAATGGCGAGTTCGAGTTGGACGAGGTCTTCATCCAGCAGAACCTGCGCCGTGGCGAGGTCAGAGGACCCTGACGGCAGAGGAGAAAGCAGAGTTCATCGGAGGGAAATGCAAGGAGCTGGAACAATATTTCCAGAATATGGTGTGGGAGCTTGCCACCCTTCAAGAGAGCAAAGATGTAGCGAGGGCAAATCGAATCATCACTGCCCGATGCGTGCTGACCTGGAAGAGAGTCGATGAGGATCAGCCCGGCGAGACTCCCATCTACAAGGCGAAGGCCAGGCTGGTGCTGCGTGGGTTTGAAGACCCTGGCCTCCTGAGCATCAAGCAGCGCCCAGGTTGGCTCGCCTATTCCTCCTGAGCATTGCCAGTTGGAACAAATGGGAGCTACTATGTGGCGATGTCAAAGCTGCATTCTTGTCTGGCAGCGGTTTCGATCGGACGATCGTGGTGAGGAAGCCTGCAACGTCCTTGATCGGAGAAGCGCAAGTTGGTCCGGAGGGCTATGTCTACATGAAGCTGAAGAAATCTGCCTATGGCTTGGCAGATGCACCACTGATGTGGTACAAGGAGGCTCTGTCCCGACTGGCCTCAAGAGAATGGAAGGTCCATCCACTGGATCAATGCTGCTTCATGCTGACCGACAAGGTGGACGGCAAGGAGACGCTCAAGGGCATGCTGGTGATCCACGTCGATGACATCCTGATCACCGGAGATTCCAAGAATGCCAAGTACAAGGCTGCCATCAAGAACCTCCAACAGGACTTCAACTTTGGCAACTGGGAACGCCTGTCAAAAGAACAGCCCATCAAGTACTGTGGCGGTCAGATCTACTTGATCGACTATGGCATCGAGGTCTCGTATGCAGAGTACATGAGGAAACTATGCCCGATCACTCGGCCCGATCAGTGTGAACAAGAACCGCAAGTCCACAGATAACACGAGCGCCAGTGAAGTCAGCAAAGTACCGAGCTCTGATTGGCGCACTGCAATGGCCATCTTCACACGGACCGGCGCTGTGCCAAAAGGAACGGCTCAAGACATCCAGGACTTGAACAAGACACTGAGGTTCGGAAAGAGCCAGAACGATGTCCCCATCCGATTCCTGGCCAAGCCGAATGAGGAGACCAAGAATGGCTTTGAGCTGCGCAACATGACCCTGGTGCCGACGCTGGTTTTGGCACGAGACGAGATGGATCATCTCAGGGCGGCTACAATCTCATGGCGATCGTTCAAGTTGCCACGAGTCTGCCGCAGTAGCCTCGGAGCTGAATGTCAAGCCGTGCTGGAAGAGTTGCTCCTGGCCAGACGTTCCTGGAGATCCTGAAGGGGCCAGACCAGACCCTGAAGAGCGCAAAAGATGACCTGACCGGCGTCGGTGCGATGGTGACGGATTGCAAGGCCCTGTACGATGCAGTACATCGTGAAACAATTCAACAAGCCAACGATAAGTGAGTTGCTATCAAGGACACCCTGAAGGACTTGAACTGTAGTTGGAGGTGAGTGTCTTCAGAACGCCAATTGGCGGATGGTTTGACGAAGGTGAGCGCAAGGCAAGCCTTCTCTGAGCGCTACAAAGGGCACTACATCCAGCTGATTGCTGACGAGAGCTACCAGGCGGCCAAGAAGAAGAAGGCGCAAGCTGAGCGGAGACAGACTGCGCAGGAAACAAAGATGCCTGCATCAAGGGTTGCTCCGACCCTGATCGGAATGGTCATGGCATCGGAGATGTCGACCGCAGACGGCAAGGTCTATGAGACTGAGGAGAAGGTGAAGACGTGATCGACACCAACGGCTTCGTGCTGTTTGACATCGCGATGATTGTCACCATCGTGATCGGCATCCTGACCATGGGATGGATTGTTTACAACTTCGGCCAGAAGGTCTTCAAGAAGAAGGAAAAGAATGACTCCGACACTGAGGAGGAGCCTGTGCCGGAACTGGATCCTCTCGACCGTGGAGAGGACAGCGATGTGATGGGAAACATCGTCAATGACCTATGGGCCAAGAATGAGAAGCTGAAGATTCAGGTCAAGGAGCTGGAGAACAAGGTGTCCTTCCTGATGGGCATCATCCAGAAGACGGAGAAGAAGGAGAATGCAATGAGCATGTTTGCCGGTATGCCTGAAGAGGTGTTCACGACACCGACCGGCTTGTGTTTTCACACAAGAGTGAACTGCAGCCACATCCACGGAAAGCGGAGAAGGTGGCGACTTTGTAAGACCTGCGGCCATTGAAGGCATTTGAGCAGGTGGGAGTGGCGTGACATATGCCTTCACTCCCTTTTTCCCCAAGGCGAAGTGTCCCAGACACTTTGAATATGTGAGTGTCATGACGTCACTTGCGTCACCGACCGCAGCCGCGGCGGGCATCTCGAGAGAAAAGCTTGGGCCCATTTAGCTGCGCCATCCTACCCCCCCTTTTCAGGGATCTCTAGCGTTTAGAGCCATAGAGGAGGATCGAACTTCGTTTGTCAACCTCCAGATCTTGTTGCGGCGGTGCAATTGCACGGCCGAAGCAGCTCCAGAGGGGAACAGGTATATCATATCCAACTATTGGGGCACCATGATGTGCAAGATATTGATAAACATAATCAAGCATCCTTGAACTCACTGGTTGTGTGCCATGTCAAAAGGGCTTCCATTGTGATGTGCCAACATGGATCAAGTGAAGCACTGTCACTACGTTCACAGGGTCGAGGTGCAGAACAAAAAGGGGTGGAGCAAACCGCCGCCAAGCGATGGTGTTCGTGGGGCTGTGTGGTGAGTTTAATCACCAACGTGATCATGGACACTGGATCCTGGTGCCTCTCTCTCTACATATTACTCTCCACCTCTCAGAGAGAGACAGAGAGAGAGAGAGAGAGAGACTCAGACTCTGGGACTCCTTGGGGAATCTGCTGAAAACATTGGTGGAAATTTGAATCTGCCCAGGCCAAGCGGGGGTCCCAGGACGGAGCCGTCCGAAGAGCTGCTCACAGCTTTGCAGGTTCTCTCTCAACTTTTGGATGATGGACAAAAAGGGCGTTCCAGAGTCTAGAGTTCGCCTGCTTAGGGTTGAAGAGCTTTCTAAACGTAAATCTAAGATGCTCTCAGCTGGGTGTATGATGGGTTGGGGGGCCATGATTTGCAGACAAGAGAAGCAACCGACCTCAGAATGCAGATGTTGAGCTGGTCTTCCTCACGAAGGCAGCCGCAAAGTAGAGGCAGACAAAGCAGAAACCAGATTTCCTGCAAATATTCCACTGGGAAACTGACACTAGTTGAACTAGTTGCATGGCAGCCAAAAAAGAAGCGAACAGAGGCTTGATTATCATTGGTTCTGTCGCGTTTTGGGCATTTCTGGACCAACATCACAATTTCTCAGTTGCTGGGCCAGAAGGGCTGTCTTCCGGCATGGACGGCTGATCTATCCCGCTTAGTTGGCTGGGAACATATTGAGTAGATAAATGGTTCTGATCCCCAAGTGCTGAGTAGTGGGGAGGGTGAATGCATTGAATGCTGATTGCTTGAGCTGCCTCGCATTTGTTGGATTCGATGTGGTGGGGTTCCTCTGAGCCATGTTCCGTTGGGGCGCTTCGCTGGGCCTCATCAGCCAATCGCTGTCAGAGCCCGTCGTGTCGATCGAACCACTCCACCAGGAGAAAACACTTGGAGTGAATGTGAAGGGACTTGGATGAGTCATGATGAGTTAAGTTAAGTAATGTGGTAGCAGAACGGAAGTTTGATAGAGTCCAATGCATTTACAATGAGTTTATCGTTAGAACACATGCATGGCCGAATAGCTTAGCATAGCTTGTGATTCCTAGCCATGGTGCGAGTGTTGACAGTCTTGAGTCAAGAGGCCTTGAGGGAGTGATTGTCGTGCAGGACCTGCCGAGTCCAAGTCTGCAGAAAGGGCATTTGCCCATCCCACGCTGGGCGGAGGGCACTGCCCGCAGTGCACACCGAAAGGCCGGTCGTGACCCATTGTTTCGGGGCAGCCGACTTGTTTCATGGCATGCAGGGCACCGAAACCGTTTTCCTGGACTTACGTCTTTGCTTCAACGCGTCTGTGGAGTTGACAGCTGTGGAGTGGTTGCCTTAGAATTGGTGAAGTGGCGCCAGGTTTTTCTCACCTCACACGTCATAAGACGGAACATGCAAAAAAGAATCTGGAGACAAGAGGGCTAGGCTTGTTGAGGTTTGATATTCACGAACCATGGACAATCACGGTGACCTGAAGTGCAGCACAGGTTCCATATCAAAGATGCGGGACCTTTGAGATCTGGGCTTTTCTTTTGGCCTGGGACTACAGATGCATTAGGCACTTTGCCATGTGTCGCTCAGAATGATCCGACATTTTTGTTCTTAAGGCGCTTGCTGCATCCAATCCCCAGCAGCTCTCAATCCGTGACGCAGTGGTTCCGCTTGGGGGATCCATGGCCGGTGGGCCCACCCGCTGAGCTGGATGCACTCTGGTCATGGCCCCAGTGACAGAGACCAGCGGAGTTGGGACAACGCCTGTGACAGGCCTGGGGCCTACCGCGCGCGTATGCGGCCTGGACTGAAGCTGATGCCTGAGCAACTGGGGCGGCGAGCACCCACTAAGCCCAGTTATGACTTGCAGCCGCGAGGGGTTCTACGTACTGTAATGATATTTTTCAGCTTTGCTTTGCGGCCTGTGGGACAGTCGTAGGCATTTTCCAAGGCTCGGCTATGCTGACTGTTTCGGCTGGTCCTTGAAGGATGGAGGCCAGGTGCATTCTTTGTACTGTATTTGCAGGCTTTGGAAAATACGACTCCAACTCTCCAGGCCCTGATCCACTCTCATTCGATGAGTCCACGTCTGCAGAGGCCCCGCGACATTTGCTAAGAAGGGTGCTTTGGGAGCGCTGTCTCAGCAGTTGCTACTTCGAGCGTTTCAAATTCTGTTTGGGCCCTGCGGCTGAGCCATCAAGGATGTTAAAGTACCCTTCACAGTCCCACACGAAGCCAACACAGTTTTTGTTTTCGGGTGACCAGTTGCCAGATCACGAGCACTCTGAGCTAACATTTTTGGGTTTAAGACGTTTTAAGAACTGCTGAATGCTATGGCACCGAAGCGCTCCGCTGCCACGGCCGCCAAGAAGGCAGATCTGCGACCCTGGCCACCAAAGGTGCCCTTGGGCACCATAGAAGACATTCTACCGCTCATCCAGGCTGATGACGATTCCCTCGATTCACTGATGTTGCCTGCGCCGGGCTTGCTCGGTGACGACGTGCCCATATCCCCCTTTGGCCCCGCGGAGATGGAGTATGTTTGCCAGTGCCTACGGAAGAACAGCAGTGTGACTCACCTCAATGCATCGATGAATCCCATTGGCGATCAAGGTGCAAAATGTGTGTCCGAGATGCTGAGATGCACTGGAGCGGGAGCAGGTGCACCGCTTCCTTTGGCGCGCCTTTCCTTGAATGGCTGTGGCATTGGAGCTGTGGGAGCAAGAGCCTTGGCGGAGGCGCTCGAAACGGCATCTGAGTTGATTGTAGTAGAACTGGTGAACAATGAGATGGGTGAGGATGGAGGGCAAGCTTTGCTGGAGGCGGTGAAAAGGAACAAGCATCTCAAGGAGGTGAAGGTGTCATTGAATTCAATTTCTGCAGAGACTGAGGCAGAAATTGAAAAAACATTGATGCTAAGATGACAAAGGTCGGCAAAAAGACCTGGGCAGCGGCACAGACACCCTCTCACGATGGCTATCGAGCTGACGGGGCTCAAAGAAAGCTTCCCAGAAGCCTGATTGCGACATGGCAAGGTAGGACATTGCCCAAGCATGCCCAGGTGGGCTTAACAGGGGCCTCGGCGTGCACAGCCACGTAAGCTGCGTGGGTCCAAAGAGATTTGAACCGTTTTCTACGCTTTGCCTAAGTGCAAGCGTAGACCGGCACGTTCAGTTGCACCTTTTCGGGTCAGGACGGCAACAAAACACAGTAGAAACAAGAAGCTATATACTAGGCCTTACTATTGGGGAGCAAGGACGCTACTAGTTAAACCTCGCCGTTTTTCGCCTTGCGCGAGGTGGCTTGGGCCCAAAGCTCGGAGGGCCTCCACGATGCCGCAGAGCTTTACGTGAAACGCCCTGGACTTGATCCTTTGACGGCCTCCGCTCGGAAGGATCTGTGGGGGTCAAACGAAAAGGGGAACAAAAACCAACAAAAGGAACAACGAGAAGGTCAAACGGCAAGAACAAATCAGAAGAAAGAAGCGCTCTAACACAGAGAAAATGAACAGGAGAAATGAACAAAAACAACAAACCGTGAATCATGAGATGGGGGTGGCTTTGGGCGACTCTCAACACCTCGGAGGACCCAGCCATCGACTGGACGGGCCTGGAAAGGAGGACCTACTCAGTGCGCTTGCTGTACAAGGAGGTTGGCGACTACAGATGCATGTGGCACATTGTGGCACGACTTCTCAGTGTTTCGACCTACCACATTGACCCTTCCCAAGTTTCAGCTCCAATTCTTTGGCAACTTTCGCTTGCAGCGTCTTGCTGCTAGGGCTGGGGGGCCAGGTGGAGGCGCCTCCAAGCAAAAGCCACTCAGCCGCCAGCTCGGATTCATTGTGGGGGCAAGCCGTTCTGTGCAAGTGGTGTCATCGGATCAACTAGTGGAAGGACAATTTTTCCCCAACAGCGAAGCTAGGGGTCTTCTGCCATAGTAAAGGCTTCGGAGCAGATTCGGAGCAGGCTCTGGAGGAGGTTCCAGGTTCCGGAGTATAGGTTCCGGAGCAGGTTTCGGAGCAGGTTCTGGAGGAGGTTC